ATATATATATGGTTACTGTTAGTAATTTTTTTCAATGTCAGGTCATTGACTGAAAAAAACACTACTTCAAGCACTCTTTAATACATAACTGTTAGTAGTAATTGGCTTCTTATACAACGGTGGACCAGGACTTGTATACAATCATGTACGCCTTGCAGAATTTGATATAAATAAAAAAGATAAAGTCAAGCAATGTCAGACATACATGTACGAGAGTGTATCATTTACCTTCCAGTAATGCCAAGTCTCTTGATCGGGTGAAAAATCTAATGGAGTCTTTCCATCCTGTTTCAAGATACACAATCATGAGAGTGGCTTAATTTTAAACAGTAATACATGTACATCATTTTTTCCTGGGCAACAGACTGCAAATAAAGCTGTACTACCTGAATCCAAGCAACAATGAAAATTGAAGGCACAAAGAAAGACCAAAAAAGTACAGTTTCTATAATGTACATTGTATCTTCTTAAAAAGCCCTGCAATCTTTTAATTTTACATGACATTGAATAGTTATCTTCTGCACATCAATCTAAATGACACATTGTCAATATCAACTGCTTACTATTAGGCCTAGGGCCTACTATTAGGCCTAGTTTAAATACTTGTAAGTTGACGAGAGAAGCTAGGGGTAACTTCTTAGAAGATTGTACAGTGCTCAGTGCAGAGGTATGTATACATATAGCGCAGAGGCGTATAGGATCATACACTGACATCTTTACTGTCAGTCTGAGAGCAGATTGACATAGTCTAACATTGCACGGTGCTCCTCAACATGCAAGAATGATAACATTTACCAACAATTTTACATTGGAATGGGCCCCTAAAAGTAGTGTATGTGGATTCCACACTGTACTTTTAGGGGACGATTTAGAAGATAAGTGCATAGTACCTTATTCTTGACCATGACATCTGCACCAGAGCGAATCAGATGAATGCAGATCTCAGTGTGCCCACGAGTAGCAGCCAGATGGAGGGGTGTCTCTCGTTCCTGTACAGTGATGAAATTATCATGATGATAGAATTGTATTCAAAAGAAATAGATTAGTGGAGATGGACTAAAGATTGACAAGTAGTATTTTATTAATTTACCTGATCACACAGTGAATTTACCTGCAAAATGATATTCCATATCACAAATATTTTGATAAGTGAACTGTCAAAATTGGATATGCACAGTATGTACTTGTACGTGTACTTGTACTTTACCCAATTCTTGGCCATGACATTGGCCTCAGAATGAATCAATAGTCTGCAAGTCTCGGAGTGGCCCTGGTAAGCAGCCAGATGTAGCGGTGTATTTTGTTTCTGTACAGTGGGAATTGAAGCTAATGTCAGGTCATCAGTGGTGATAAGTTGAACACTGTCACATGCTAAAAACTCACGTGCGGTGCAATAACATTTTCCTTTTAAAATAGGAAATGCAATTGTAAAGAGACAAACTCTGTTGAGGACTATCAAATACATTTTTTTATGTCACATCCAACTGTACTGAATACATAGGGGTCCATTTGTACAACAGTGTGCATCACATGAATTACCTCATCCTTGGCAATAACATCAGCTTTGTTACGAATCAGAAGCTCAGAAGTCCCACTGTGGCCCCAGCGAGCAGCTCGATGTAAAGGGGTCTGTTGTTCCTATAGTATGAAGAAAGGTCAGTCTGAGAGTAATACCTTATTTAATCTAAATACTTAGTTCTGTTATCAACTACTAGATAAGAAAACATTCCAATTCAAACACAGTGACTAACTTCTAAAATTACAATTATATAAGACATACTGGCATACATTGTACACAGTAAGAAAAGGGCAGAGATGTCTACTGGACAGCAGAGCTAAGGAGAACTGCTAATGGAGCTGGCATCCTCAGTAATGTTGTACATAATTTACATTGCATGATGTTACTAATTTTTGTCAACACTGTGCTATACCCACAGTTTTTCTTACATTTTTATGAAATACCAATGTTTGCAAGCAAATACTTAATACTCCGCATTTAGTTTATTTCTAATTCTTTTACTTGATCTAATCTAAAAGGAAAAGGGAAACATAACCTCATCCTTGGCCATGATATCAGCACCAGACTGAAGGAGAAGTTCAGCAATCTCGGTGCGGCCTCTCACAGCAGCCAGATGAAGGGGTGTTTTCTGTTCCTGTGAAGGAAGGATTGTCAGTGCCCCATGGATGTCCTCAAAGCTAATTATAGTATTTGATAATTATGAGAACCTACTTAAACATAATAAATATTGCTTAATAACTTCAACTTAATTGTTTATCAGGTAAATGTGTCTGAGTAAAACACTAGAGCCCTGGTAGATTTATGGGTCCAACTGAAATTGAATATAACATAGTTTAAGCTAAAGAAAATGTTACATCCACGCAGTGTATTAGGAACTGTAATCAGAAACCAGTGTGCATTACCACATCTCTGGCCATGACATTAGCACCAGACTGGATAAGCAGCCCGCAAATCCCAAGGTGACCCTCGGCAGCAGCAAGATGAAGGGATGTTCTCTGGTACTGCACAAGTGGAAATATCAATGTCAGAGTATACTGCTAGGTTCACAGTTCATCACCATTGATTTAAAGAGAAATTAAATATAACAACAACTGAATTTAATAATTTAGGTGGTGACATACACTGTACATGTACTACTACTTGCCACTAATAATACAAACTTAAGGAGATACAGGTCCGTATCTGGACAATGAGCACTAAATTATATTACATAAATTATATTATATATATATTATTATCCATTAGTTGTGGGCATGGGCCCTAATGTTTTATATGCCAATCGATGTTTCAGCCTATGCAGTAACTTATTAATAAGCGACATAACATCCATTGTGTTATAACGGTTATTACATGGGCTTCAAAATGTCCCATCGAATAATCAGAATGTGTTTTCAATGTGTCGTTTCCTTTAAAGGTCCATTTCAAATATATGTGGATTACCTTATCTTTGGCATTAACATTTGCACCACAACGAATCAGAAGCTGAGATGTCTTTGCATGACCCTTATGAGCAGCTAGATGCAAGGGTGTTTGCTGGAGCTGTATGGGAAAGATGCTTATTAAGTTGCAGTAGAATAGTATCATGATCATACATTGTATGATGGTTTATTCAAACTCTAAGAATTAATTTTCATCCATTATTAATATATTATATTTCATGAAAAAATCTTCGGTCACAAAGCCAAGCCAAGAATATTTCATCCATTTTCTAATCAGTTCTTGAGTGGACTTCAGAGCACCTGAAATTAATTATAACCTGGTCAAAACGTACTATCAAAAGGGTATTTTTCAATCAGTGTCAACTAATGATAAGTTTATCTAAACTAATTAGTTGTATGACTTGATTATGCCAGAAGAAACACTTGACCTGAATTTGGATACTGCAATCTATTACATGTAAGCCTAATGTAGTCCAAATTCCTGAGTTCACATTCAAGGAAACACATTAAGTAATCTGTGGGTGTAAAGAGAAAACTCTGGTTTTGTGTCTGTTTTTTCTTATCTGCGGTGTGTCTTTTGTCCAGATGTGTTAGGTCACAGGAGCAGGGCACTCTAGTTTATCTGTGCAATCTCTGCTGTTCTATCCAAAGGACCTGGTGCAATTCTAAATTTAAAACCAATGAGACTGTACATTGTACATTACCTTGTCTCCAGCCATCAGGTCAGCTCCAGAATAAATCAGAAGCTCAGATGTCCCTGTATAGTCCCAGTTAGCAGCTACATGCAAAGGTGTCTGCTGGAGCTGCACAGAGAATATGGTTAGTCAGTTAGTTGTTGGTTCACAACTAATTAAGGCATCATACAGCTGTAGAAATGTAGGTATGCTTACTGCATGGTAATTTGAGTGCAGAACATAAGACACAGATTAATATTTAAGTAGATGTGAGGTCTGACATTTAGAGATTCAGAATTAGACTGACATCTGCATGTGGGATGTTTGATATTTTCATCATTTTGATAGTATTACACAATTATCACGGATTTGTTAAATACCTTGTCTTGAGCCATGATGTCAGCACCAAAACGGATCAGGACCTCTGAAGTTGCGGTGTGTCCCTGCTTGGTAGCAATATGCAAGGGTGTTTGCTGGAGCTGAACAGGGACACAAAGTTTAAAATAACACAATAGTTGTCATGACAAGTACTGATGACCATTGCGCACGGAAGAAATAAGACTTTATTAGAGAAACCTGAAATAGAGTTAGATTGTATTTCAAAATATAATGTTATATATACGTCATATTATACAATAATTATACTCTGTGTTTTTAGGCTTTTGTAGCAGGGTTTCTTTTTTTGCACTGGCATTTTTGGGTGAAAAAAATTCCAGTGCAAAAAAGAAACCTAGAAAAAGAGGCCTAAAAACATGCCAAAAATAACCCAAAACTCTGCTTGGAGAGTAATATACAATGTATAAACAACATTGTCATCCATAGAAATCTAAGAGATGAAGCCACTTACCAGCCCATCCCTTGCCTCCAAATTAGCCCCATGTTGCACCAGCAACTCTGCCACTGCAGTTTGCCCATGCCTGCTGGCCACGTGCAATGGTGTCTGGTCATCCTACAAAATGTTTATGGCACCACAATTGGGGGAATATACATGTAGCATTCTTGCTATATGTTGACAGAATTATGTGCATAAATTTGACAACAAAAACAATAACGGTTTCAATGTTAGTAACACCTATTATAATCTGCATGTGATCCTATATAATTATGAACAGCTGGACCAAGTGCTAAGTCATTCATTACAATTAATATTTGAATATATTAGACCATTGGACTCATCAGCCACACCCAAACTCACAAGTTGGAGCAATTGAAGCAAACTCAGTTCTGATTAGGCTGAGATGAACATCACTATAATTATCAGTTGACAACTGATTCAGAAATACTGTTCAGTATAAAATATGGCATGTGGACACTACTGTTAGTAATGCTGTGGATGATGAAAGAAGTTATTTACTTCCTTACCTGTCAATTGAACAGTACAGAAGTACTGCAACTGATCTATTTTTCTTTACTTCTTTATTTAGTAATAATCAAGTTTCAATAAATCATAATCAAATTACTCGCTTCTGTTAATTATGAAACAAAAAAGTTGTATTCAAGATTTTACCTCAGCTGCATGGAAGCAAGACTAAAGTCTGATAATATACAGTAACCTCTGAGTTAACTTAGCTCACCACAAAGTCCCATTCCCTAGAGCTCTTCACCCGGACTTTTACCCCTTCTTGCGCTTGCAGCTCTCTCTTAACAGTCTCCATGTTGCCTGTAGCCACGGCTTCAAAGAATAAAGTCAGGTCCACAGTCTGCTAAAAATGAACAAAATTAATGTATTAGTTGAACCAGGTGTGTTTTACCGGTAGCTGCCTCACCATCCCACATCAGCCTAAGATAGGAAAATCTGGCAACATCTCTGCTGCAAGGTCTGCCATCCCCCCAACGACCAGTGTTGGTCATGGAATAGGTACATTCTACAATGTCATGTACATGTACATGTAGGTAGGTAGGTACTACTAGGCTTCTTTTAAAATTAATGCACAATATTATATTTGACATGACTTTTACCTGCTCAGAGAGGCTTTCATTGCTGGTAGTGTTGTTGGATGGTTCGCCTGGTGTTATATTAATAAAAGGAGTTTGGGCCAGATCCTGCAAGTCTTGCACTGCCAATGGCACATCAGATTCTGTATTATAATAAGATATACATGTATACCCTAGCTGTATTGCTTGATGGAATCCATTTTAAAAATTTATATCCTATTAATTTTTAAAGCTTGCAGAGGTTTATGATGCCATAATAGGTATAAAATGAAATCATTCTTTATATGTATCATGACATTAGATAAAGCATCAGATGTTGTGTATGCTTATAGAATTTATAAGATGGTGATACCTACTTTCAGTCAAATATTTTCTCCACCGCCTATACTGCTCCTCCAGCATGATGACTTGCACCACCAAGTCCTGCCCGACAACTGCTCGCATCTCATCAGTAATAAGACGTTGTGAGAGTTCATTACTGAGTTGTCCAGACTTATAGTCTGCCCAGAACCTGTCTAAATCTGTCAAATTGTTTGGGATTAGGTGAACTATTGCACAGCCTTCTTTAACCATCAAAATGTCAAATTTCTGACGAAGCTGTGCAAACATTTCTTCTGTCTGCTGTTCTACCTTCTCTTTTGAAAGAAAATGACTTGCTCTTTCTAGCCATTTTAACTGAATGTCTCCCCACTTTTCTAATATCTCCAATTCAGATTCCATTTTCTTTTCCTTGAGCTTTTCCTGTATTAGCAGTTGATCATCAAGGCCGGTGCCATCATCTTCGCTACCTGTTCCTTCATCTGACGAGACAGAATCTACTGATCTTGCAGATGTTGGTGCCGCATGCAGGAGCATCTGGATTGCTATAAACAATATAAACAGATTCAAAATGTCTGAATTTAAAGCATCTTAGACGGTTTTTCACCCCACCCCCCTTTACTCTTGTCAGCTATGATGTCAAAGTAATAAGGACTTGCATCAGCTCTATATGTCTATATGACTTTGCTTGGACATACATGTATACAAGTCATGTACATGTAGACAATTACATTTTACTGTGAGTGTCTTTTCCATGGTGCTTCTTGTAGTATACATTACATACCTTTTCTAAAAATATCTATGAAAGGAGGACACACACAATTTAAATCGGCTTATAAAGTTACTGTTCCTTATACTATACTTAGCAAATAGTTTTACTATTCCTCATACTAGTAATTTATAAGTTTTTTTTTACCTAAGCCGACATATCAATGACCGTCTGTCATCTTCACTGTGACTTCACTATGACTGGTTCACTGTACACTATATACTGATTTGCTATACACTGGAATACATTGTGGACATTCACTGTGCACTGGAGTTAGGTATTACTGGTTCACTGTGCACTGAAGCTATGTGTTATATGTTTTAATGTGCACTCAAGCTAGGTGTCATATGGTTTATTGTGCACTGAAGCTAGGTGTCATATGGTTTACTGTGCACTGAAGCTAGGTGTCATATGTTTTACTGTGCACTGAAGCTATATGTCATATGGTTTACTGTGCACTGAAGCTAGGTGTTACTGGTTTACTGTGCACTGAAGCTAGGTGTTATATGGTTTACTGTGCACTGAAGCTAGGTGTCATATGGTTTACGTACTGAAGCTAGGTGTCATATGATTTACTGTGGAAGCTAGGTGCCATATGGTTTACTGTGGAAGCTAGGTGTCATGGTTTACTGTGCACTGAAGCTAGGTGCCATATGATTTACTGTGGAAGCTAGGTGCCATATGGTTTACTGTGGAAGCTAGGTGTCATGGTTTACTGTGCACTGAAGCTAGGTGCCATGGTTTACTGTGCACTGAAGCTAGGTGTCATATGGTTTACTGTGCACTCAAGCTAGGTGTTACTGGTTCACTGTGCACTGAATCTAGCTGTTATAGTGACATAGGTATTGTTACATGCAGTTCCAAAATAAAGCATTGTTAACAATTTCCATTGTTAACCAACAATGCAGTCCCAAATGTAAAATATTGTCAGAAAGTGATGATAATAATAGCACAATAACATGATGATGACCAGTCATAGTAACCCTATTGAAGATGACAGATGGTCATCAAAATGTTGGCCCATGTAAAACAAAATTTTAATGATGGTGAATAAAAAAAAACTTTTCAAAAGAACATTTACCAAGTTGAACCTGAATAAAATTATTTATGGAATGATCCTATATTGGGTAGTACTTCATATAAAGGTGCAGGATTACCTGTGGGTTGAGACTTTTCCAATGCAGATAGCTGCTGAACCACTTCAGTAGCAATGTTTGCCAGCTCACTTTCAACACTTGTTCTCTGGACACGTCTTGCACTCATCTGCTTTAACGTGGGCGAATAGTTCCCTACCAATTCACTGAATGCTTTGAAATTGTCTTCATTTTCGTCCAACCAAATTGGAAACACACATTTCTTGTTCAGGCATTTTTCAAGTTCCAATTTTGGCCAGTAGTTCTTGCTAAGCAATGAATTACTGACAACAATGACAGCAAGTTGGAGAGCATCACTCGACAAGGTTGACATTATTCTCTCTCGAATGTGTTCTCCAGGTTTGATGGAGACTTCGTCAAAGAAGATATCGTCTTCCTTCAAACCCTTTTGCCTCAGGGCGCTTACCAGTGGACGGACAAAGTGTTCTTTGTCTTCTCCCGCATGGATGATGAAAATGCGTGGCTCTGTTTAGGAGTAATGAAAATATATCAAGATGGTTAATTGACTAGCCTGGGTTCAATCAATTTTTGTTGCAGGGGTCCTTGTATTCGCTGATCCGAGTGCAAGGAAGCCCGTTACAAAATGCATGGTACCCAAGCTAAGTGTAAAATAAAAGTAATCTGTTTTTTTTGGGGGGGGGGGGGCTACACTGCAAAACCATACTTACTTGTCTATCATATATAAATTGTGTCAATATATTACCTTGAGTATGCACAGGAGATCATACCTCCGCCCTCCAAAGAGGACACTGGCATGCAGTCATCTTTGATTGCAAATGACTACCAAGGCTACATATTACCTATTACATTTCAAGTGCATTTATATTTTTCTATCCGGTGCTTTGCTATCAGAAACCAGGTTGAAGGAATTGCTTTAACATTTACATATTTTGAAACAACAAAATAGTAACCGTTACTTTTGTTTTGTAACATTGATATGCCAATTCCATTACCTTCATTTATTTAATTTTTCTATATTTATTCACTTGTTTCATATAGCTCATAGTTTGCTGTATGATTTTGAAGAACTTTTACCAATATGTTTTTGTTGTAATAAGTTAATTTGTATCTTTGTTTTCTTGTTTATTATATTTAGTATATTTTGTATATTTTATTTTGTATATTTTATGTCCATGGGGAACATTGAAAATCGCCCTTGCGGCAACATGTTTTACCCTGGGTAAATAAAAATAAATGAATGAATGAAATGAAATTAAATGAATCAAATTAACCTACCTGTTGTCTCTCCGGAACCTCCCTTGAGTGGCTCATGCTGACTTTCATCATCCAAGAGTCGTGCCAGATGTGGATAATGAAGCTTGAGAGCATCACGGAACACCGAAAATGCATTTAGTCCTCTAGTAGGAAGAATGTTTAACAGAGCTTTCGCCTGGTCTACACGTAACTTTTTACTTTCAATCTCATTCAGATTATCTCCACTTAGTACCCCCTTGTCCAATAGGTACCCCCGAATGTCTCTGAACCGCAAGTCGCTTGTTATTTCAAAACTGTTGGCGCAAAGGAGATCTCTGTGTCTTTGCTCCATGGCTTACTGATACACCTTTGTTGCAGTTTGTGCAAGTTGTTAACTCAGTTCAACCTGTTGTGCTGTGCTCCTGCTACTGTCAGTCATTCATGCCTGCAAAACTTGCAAATACTTCCACTAAAGTCTTCTTTTTCCATTCATTCAATGGTCTTTGCTGGTGTCAGATAGTATGTTGTTGTAGAAGTACAGCATTACAAAATCTGAAATACATTTAATGAGAAAAAAATGATGTTGGTCACCTATTCTTCATTTTGTGTAGAGGACTATCAATCAGTCCAATGATATTAATTTCCCATCAAAATTTGATACAATGTATAAACATTGATGATACATGTGGAGAAGAAATATATTTGTATGTGACAATTGTGTGACTTGTTATGTATGTGAATGAATGAGAATGAATGAATGAGACTTTATTTTCGAATCATGCGCTATCCCGTGCCCAGCCCGTGTGGGCTTATTCGACACCGATTCAATAAATTATACATAAACAAAAGAGAATTAAAGGTACAGATAACAGAATCCAAACAAAATATGAACACAAATAAAGGTAGGCTATATACAATAACGGTGAACTAAGTGAACTCATAACAGATCATAAATGCAAATAAACAAATCTGTACATAATGAACCAAGATCTCACAAAATAAATACAAGTACATAATTTAAATCAAACATAATAAGAGAAAACAAACGTGCAGAAGTTATAAAAAGTGAAAACTGTTGATGTGTTATGAATACAGGTATTTTCTTCTTTTCCCCCACATTCGATAAATGAAAGTTGCTAGGTCAGATACACTCTTGTTAAAGAGCCACTTTACTCTATTTTGTGTTTGTATGTGTATGTTTGAGTGTGTGTTTGTGTGTGTGTGTGTGTGTTTGTGCATATGTGTTTGTGTGTATCTGTGTGTGTGTTTGTGTGTGTGTGTGTGTGTATGTGTTTGTATGTGTGCTTGTGTGTCTGTTTCTGTGTGTGTTTTGTTTATTGTTTATTTGTTTATTTAACCAGAGAACATATCGCCCTGGAGGGCAGTTTTCAATGCACCCTGCGGGGCAATACCCAAACTCAATAAAATAATAACAATATAATACAACATAAAGTAATCACTGAAGAAACTTAATAATATGTACAATCAAGGGGCGAATTAAAAGAAGGTAACTAAAGCACGAACTTAAGTAACAAAAGAATAAGCGGTCCAAAATAGGCATACATCAAATAGTATCAAATCAATCGATGGTTAGTGTGCTGTGTTTGTGCTTGTGCGTTTGTGTGTGTTTGTGTGTGTGTGTGTGTGTGTGTGTGTGTCTGTGTTAGTGTATGTATGTGTGTTTCTGTGTGTGTTTGTGTGTGTTAGTGTATGTGTGTTAGTGTATGTGTGTTTATGTGTGTGCGTTTGTGTGTGTGTCTGTGTGTGTGTGTGCGTGCGTGTTAGTTTATGTGTGTGTGTGTTTATGTGTGTGTGTTTGTGTGTGTCTGTGTGTGTGTCTGTGTGCACGTGTGTCTGTGTGCGTGCACGTGTGTGTGTGTAGTGTGTGTGTGTGTGTGTGTGTAGTGCGTGTGTGTGTGTGTGTTTGTGTGTGTGTTAGTGTGTGTGTGTGTGTGTGTGTAGGTGTGTGTGTGTGTGTGTGTGTGTGTGTGTGTGTGTGTGTGTGTGTGTGTGTGTGTGTGTGTAGGTGTGTGTCTGTGTGTGTGTGTGTGTGTGTGTGTGTTGGGTGTACACATGTGTATGTACAATGCCCTGCCAGGTAGAATCCCCACCCCCAATTAGCTTAAAGATAAAACCTGTCTTTAAAGGTCACTTCTAATTTGCACCTCTATTTTATATTGTTGTTGTTGTGTAAAGTAATGTTCTTTCAGGAGGGGGACATGATCATATTGCATGTTGTATACATAGGCTTTGACTTCGAGTAATGTATTAAATGTGTCTGGCCACCGTAGTTTTTTTAGCCACACCTACTCCTGGGTAGGACCATCAGGTGTGGGAATAACAGCAATCCTGCTTGCAACACACCTGTGCATACCTAGCCACGGCTAGTACATGCCAAATATCACGAGCATCCATCCACAGCTTCTCGAGTTACTAGAAAAAAAGTATACTGTCCACGCGCGCTCAAACTTAACCCAATTGCATAGCTTTGGCAACGTTAACATACATGTACATGTGTATGTACTCGCAAATATTGTAGGCCAGCGAGTGCTTCTCTCCCAAAACATCCACCCAACATCGGCCTATAACAGTTTGACAGGTGTTAATGACAGACACATGTGTGTCGTGAGAAATATTTACCTGCAACTAACTAAATTATGATGGAAGTTTCTACTTCTACATAGTACTTAGTTGTTATCAAGCAGTACTTCCTCCTTAAAACTACAATTGTTTCGAGGTCATACGCGAAGGACCACAAAGCAAACCTCGCCGAATTGTCTTCCTGTATATCCTCTAACTCTGACACGGAATGTTACATACCTTCAGCTGTTGTAGTTAACTTGAATAATGTGGTGTTCTGTTTTGGTTGGTTGGACCAAAAGACGGTACGGTCTATTATGTTAAACATGGCGGACAACCAACGAAGCAGGTAAAGACGTATCTTTGCACTTTGACCTCGGATCAGGTGTCGTCTCAACCGTTACTAAATAAACAGATACTTTGCAACCAAACAGCTGAAAGTCTGCACACTCAATAGCTACTAACTCACTGTGACTATTCTTGTGGCAAATCAATCAAACTTCCGGTTGTTCATATCGTACAATTAACTATGTTTTAACTCAATACTAACATTCAGAGTAATTAAATCTACGCCTAACCTAAACTATTCCATAATTTTAGGGGCCCTTGCAACACGACGCATCTAGTCCACAGTGTGTATATCTTCTGTTCCTCCTACAAAATGTATGTCCTTTGATATACTCTTTCCTGTCCGCACTTTTATGTCGTCCTTACACCGGTATACCGTTAACGTTTCAATTGTTGTCGCCCCTTTCTTTGTACATGTACAATGTCGTATTCTTTTTGTAAGTGCTGTTTTCTCTTCCACTTGATCAATCTCGGCCGAAACGTTCTTTGTTACAAATTATTCTCTAAGCTCTAGATATGTGATGCCAAGAACGCTCCTGTAACAGTAGCCACCTGTGCAGGTCTCCGGGCGGGTGGAAGTTTTGTTACTGCGTTTTGTAGAATTTTTAACGGTTTTTTTGCCCCCCAGAGAAGGTTTGTATCCTCCACGTGCACGGTGGGTACACCCCTTCTCTGGGCGGTTGTAGGATGGCCGGCAAAAGAATGCGTTAAAAATTCTACAAAAAGAAGTATCAAAACTCCCACCAACTCGGAGGCCATTGCCGGTATCCATTTTCCCTAAGTGAAAATTTTTCGCAACCTTTTAGTTTAAAATAGATTGGCAGAGTGGGTGCCAATATTTAGTCAAATCGGGGTTGGGCATATTTTCACCTAGCCTGGGTGCCATCCCCAGTAGTATATTCGCCAGCTCTATAACCAGTTATAGAGCTGGCGAATATACTACTGGGGATGGCACCCAGGCTATTTTTCAACCGCTTGTGCCGACCTTCAGACTGCCTGTATTTCTGGATGAGAAGTTCCATTAAATATAAGCCTATGTACAAATCAAAGGATTCTTAAAGCCTGCTTTACACCTGCTTTACCCACTTTGCGGCGTGTAAAGGCCCTGCGCTGATTTAGATATCACAGACTGAGGCTGCATTTTCCAAACGCTTCGCCAGGTTTCTTTCCCAGCCAACTCAGCTACATTTGCACGTGCTACGCGTGTACCATGTTGAGCGCTGTGCTTACCTCCAAATTGTATACTTAGCCTAGTGAATTTATTCCTTGCATTGGTGCGGGGCATTAATTTCATTTTATTTATCAACCTAAGGAGAACTGATCGCATTAAAGAACCATTATACTAATCTTGTGGATCATCTTTATCATAGGATTGTGTTACGCCTTGGTGTAGTCTAATTTTATGTGATATATACGTAGAAAAGAGGACAAATATCTTATTCAGATATGAATCATGTTTGCAAATAATACTTGATTTCAACAAGATACTGATACGGAAATTGCTAGAACTATTCAGTGTTCATACCCCTGACCACACTGCTGCTAAGGATGTTAGATATGTTCACGACGATATGTTTTAAAAAAAACTACAATGTCAAAATAATAACGTAAGGTAATGCGAAAATATTATCCCTGCTCACAGCAATCCGATTACACAAAATAAACCAGAGTATGAGAAATTTGTCTTCTTATTATAGCCACGTAATGTCGCTGTTTACTATTAAACTTAGATATTGCATAATTTGGAACAATAGCTTGAATACTAGTATATACAACACCTTACAATATATTTCAGATTATTCAATTTGTATTTTGCATGGTTGATTTTTTTAACCAAATGATCAGTTTAGCCATAATGAATTATATATGATGTTAAATCTGCAGCATGACATTATAAACTCTCTGTTTAATATTTCCCATTTTACTTTCAATGTTGCAATCATAGTCAATGATAAGCTAGCCTTTATGATCATCATTTGAATGTACCAAGTTTGTCACGATATGTTATGAAATCCGTACTGTATACGGTTTCTCAGCAGCAGCGCCCCACTTGTCCACACAGAACTGCATGTGTTTATATCAGGCCTGCTGGACGCTGGCATGTTGTGAATGTTGCTTGTCTCAGTCAACATCATCTCCGGCTGCCTCTGACTTCCACCAGCCGACCCCAACACGGTCCACATCGGCTCTGCTAATCTTGCTCCTGAGCTCAGTCATACTTGATTTCCTCGCCGCTCTCACTAAAAAAAATTCCGCCCGACATTTTCGGCATATCGCACGCCACATTTCTGGTAGGAAACGCCGGGGGAAAGCTGATATCCCGCGCGCTGAGCTCCATACGACCGCGCCCCGCCCCAACACGACTCACTACCCGATGATGTCTGAAATGAGGGGGACGGAGCCATCAGAGTTTAGGTTCGAGTCTTCCCCAGCGGATCACCACAAAACGCCTTCTCCTAGCTCCTCGCACGGGAACGAGAGAGTGGGGATGCACGCGCACATGGACTATCCTGAGCCGCCCAGCCCACGGGACCCGAAGGGCATCAACGATCATGTGAAGGTAGGTCACTGCTGTGTTGTACAGGCTAACCGACATACTGGGATAAAAATAAACACACTTACTTCCTTTGGACGCTGATAGACGATAAACATATTCTATGAAGGCCAGACACAACACAGTTCTAAAATCATACAGGAAAGTAATAAATAAATACGGGAATTAATTTGAAAACAATTCCGCGACTGCTATACTTGTGCGGAAAGAGTGCAGCATTTTTTTGTTTGTATATACACTATGACTGACTTGAAGTTATTTTTGAAACATTTTAAAACCAGTAAAACTGTAGTGTAGACGTTTCTTGATTATGTTATGTTGCTTATTCGCTATTTAATGTGAAAACTTTGTCAGTACAATTTTATTTCCTTATTCCGTATCGTGGCAGTCCATTGCCAACGGTTCAATTAGACTGAGTGGAAATATTTGGTGCAGCTATTAATAGCCTTGCAGTGGGGGGGGGGAGGCATCCATTCAGACGAGGGTCATCGGCGACTGCTGAACAACCGACAAGTATATGAGATAAGATCTTAAGTAATTAAGTGCCAATTAAACCTTCTGATATGTCGCATAATAAACAAGATTTTCGTCGCCCCAACGTAGAATGTGTGACAGTGAATAGGTTAAGTGAGGATCTTTTGCTTCACTTTTAAAGACAATGAAAATTAACCAAGTGGATTGAATCTATAAATCATTTTTTGTTCTGCTGGCATTCCTGGCACAATATTTTTCAATAATTTCATGTCTTAATTGGATAATAGACAATCAATTTTTTTGGTCTACAGTGGCATAGTTACTTCCGCATTAGTTGTGTTTTGCTGCGGTGTGATGCGTTGCACGAGAAATATTACTCTCAAATCGTACACATACAGGGTGCTACATAGATGGTACTGTATGTCCTGAACAATAATTGTTGTGCTCCGCAGGACAAAGGTTAAAAGTACAGTTTCGATGGTGAGATATAAACTCTTTGTCGGTGCGTGTATGGTATGAGCAATATTTACAATTAATTGATCCCCTCCCAAGCATTTGTGGTTGTTGTAGACAGACCAATTTGAAGGATCTTTTATTTTTGAAGAAATTTAACCCAGTTTTTTTTTCAGAATAAGTACAATTACAATCAAGTTAGCATCATGTATAGGCTATCTTTCTCTATGCGGGTATGGCATATGTCCAATTGGCTCTGACAACTGCAAACCTTGAGCCTACTTAACACTTGTACGAGGCCTGAAAGCTAAATGATAATGTAAACAACGTTGAGCACATTTCTGTTGGAGATTTGGCTACACTGTCTCATTTTATACAAAACCAAAATAATCATTGACGGATTCTTACTCATCTATTTATTTGTATCAGCGTTTAATACAAACAACAGTCACATCCTTTTTCATAAGCTTTGTCTAACTTAAAATGATACATAACAGCATGCAAATTATCACTATCATAATATGAATTCATAATGCATATTATATACATGAGTCGATTCAAGTGACCCTTCAAAGTCGGAAACAAAAATGTAAAAATGGCCCCTCATCAAATCATAGAGTTCAATATGCTGTCTCCATGTTTGCATAAAAATAAGTAAGTAAATAATATATCGTAAGTGGGCCAGCCTAATCGACGAAAAAAAACGTGTATAAAATGATAAAAGCATATGTGCCGGGCCTAGCCTCCTGCGCAGAATTTCTATCGGGCATTGTTTGTTTTATATGAGCAATTTGTACAGTGCGGTGGTTTCTGTTAGGGGGTGTATATGGGGGAAGGGGGGTGAAAGCACATATCTCGCGTCTAGCCTAGCCTTAATGCCCGGGCGTTTTTAGCGAGCAGCATCTGTTTCTACGCCGCGTGTATAGAGCTTTCCGGCCGGCCTAGAAACAGCTTTCAACCCCGATACAGCAGCCCATCCCCGAATACGGCTCTTTCCCTAGATAACAAGCGTTGCCCGCTCAAAAGTCTGGACAGGAGGCTACCTGAGTCTATCTTATCGGAGCCTGGTGCCTGTACATGCCCGTAGCCAGGATTTTGAATGGGGGGGGGGGTTCTTCCCACTGCTTGAGGGGACCTAGAGCGCCGTAGGCGCGAGGTTCCTTGGGGTCGGGTTGCATGCTCGAAAAAATAATGCCACACCCCAACAAGTCTGCGAAGGAGACTAGGTGCCTGTCCTTGACTGTGTGTGTACACGCCAGCTGCTGTTGACTTGGTCTCCTGCCAGATTTCTGGATTTATTTGCTGTGTAAAGTTTGATCCTCCTGTCATCTCCCGTACCAGCACATTCCGGACAGGCCAGGACGTTAGCATGTTACCGCTGAAAACTGTAAAACAACGCAATCACTGATAAGCGACGTTGGAAACGGTAGAAGGGAGAACTAGAATGGCTTTGATAAAAAGATTAACCTGATACGACGTAAAATTAAGCTTTCAGAGGATGACATCCGCCATCTTTCTTTAGCTGCTAAAGCTATGGCTATACCTTAGTAATTTCATAAGTTTATTGTTAATATTATTGAAAATATTCGCGCCTCGAAATTACTTATAAGGCCACACCGAGTAAATTTTATGGATGACGTCCTTTGGAGATCCTAAATCTAATGCGAGAGGGCGAAAAAAAAAGAAGGGCCCTAAAAAACAAGATGCCTAGATTAGAAATATTCTAAGAGACGACAAATGTTAGGACACAAATTGAATGTTGAATGCAATAAATCAGGTGGAACAGCAGTTGTCGTCCTGTCCTGTTTTTTCATCACATTTTTGCTCTTTACCCATTTTGCGTTACGGGTTTAACGTCAATCTAATGATTTGCGGCACTGTCGTGACTCTTTGGTCATAGTTACAGGAAGCGGAATTTCTTGGGTTTTTTTTTTCTAGGAACAGGCCAAAATCAATGCGCGCGCGGACGTCATTCATAAAATTTACTTAGTGTGGCCTAATGACAATACAGTATTATCTCGAAGTAAAAAGTGAAAAGTAAAAAGTGATCTTGAAAGGTTTAGCTCACTGAAGAGCTGCTCTTTCACACAGTCGTGACAAAGAAGGCAGACGCTGACTATGTACAGTATTTACAGGTACATTGTACAGGGAAATTCTCCTGGCCCTTTTTGACAATCACAGTGAACAGTGGACCATGATGTAACGTCCAGTCCTTATAGGGCTGTGACTCTTTCCAGTAGCGTGTCTTCAATGCCGAGTGAGCAACGACGTACAGCCGGGATTCGCACTCCCAATCTCTTGTTGGTCATGTAGATGAACATAGTAAGTCTGTACGCGATGCTACGTAGCCAGGATTTTGAATGGGGGGGTTCTTCCCACTGCTTGAGGGGACCTCGAGCGAGGTTCCTAGGGGGGTCCGGGGGCATGTTCCCCCGGAAAATTTTGAAAAATGAACCTTCTAAAATGGCATTTCGTGCATTTTCAAGAGGATTTCCAACAAAAAATCAGAGATAGATTTTTATTCAATGACAAAGGGAGCAGTTTTTTCTACATAAAATGTGGACCAAAAAGTGGACCTTTACATAAAATGTGGACCAAAAAGTGGACCTTTACATAAAAAGTGGACCACAAAGTGGACCTTTGAGCCTTGTGGGGGGGTTCTTCCGAACCCCCCGAACCCCCCCTGGCTACGGGCACCTGGAACCAAGCGTCTTTTATGCAGAATTATTCAATACACTGGTACCGCGTCCTCTCATGAAAACATGATAAAGCAAGTGTAGTAGCACGTCGGCAGAACGTACTGCGCCTGCGCAGAACCCCGTATTTTTGCGTTTTTCGTTGGGTTTTTGGTCAACGTTGCATCGGATTTTTTCCTGTTGCAGAGGATATTCTGTTCGAAACAAAATTTGGAAACTACTGTCGAAATGCTAACCTTATATGAGCGAATACAACCTTATATGAGACATTCTGCCAAAATGCTATGTACAATACATTACGGGTTTTGCGCAGGTGCAGTACGTTCTGCCGACGTGCTAAGTGTAGTCACCCACCGAGTCACGGCCATATATGTAACTGCGCTGTAACACATCTGACCCTTTTAGTGCCACTGTCTAATACAAGAACCAGACCGCCAACTCGATGACGTGAACAGGCCCTCCAACTCTACCCTGACCTTAAAGCGCAACAACTTCACAGCTGCTGAGGACGTCCATTTTTATAACTTATTAGCCCTTCTCTAATTAGAAGAGGTATTCCTTTGTGTTATTACATGTCATTAATGAGATGTGCCCTACTTTTCCGTAATTATAGAAAAAGATGGGTATGCGATTTTACAGTTACATGTACTGTAGTAAAGTAGTTGCGTCACATAGGTCGACACCAAGCTGTAAACAAAGTTGTTGAATGTAAACACGGAAGCAAGCTAAGGTCGAACTGTAGATATTCTATTATATATAATATAATCTACGATCTTCTTTCTGCACTAAGCGTGCGATCCATTCTTACCCCAAGGTGAACATTAAAATTCAATAGACGAATATTGTAGCCCCGCCCACCTCCGTCAAAACGTAGAAATGCACGTTTGATGAACATGCCTCTACTCTCTCATTGGTCGATACGTTAATTACTGCGCTATCATTGGTCAAACTGCTAATTATGATAGACAGTCTAGATCGGTATATTCAACGACAAGCTTACAGCCCTAGACTACCATGTCTCTGTGCTCAACTGACTATTTACTGACAAGTACACGGCAGAGTCGTTAACAACAGCTGTCGGAAAACATGTGTGCTCACAGATCGCACCAAATAACGCACAGCAAATATAGCTGTGAATCACAGGCGACAAAAACAAGGCCTGATCCCCACGTGTTTGAATAGCTCGTCTGTCTGAACCACATGTTTCTCTTATCTCACTACAAGCAGAATTTCTACACCAGATGGTCGCTCATCGATTTATAGCTAAGGATACAAACTTGACCTTCAGTACGCTGGACTATAGGCTATACTAAATCCTCTGAAAACCCCCAAACTAGTGCGCGCGGGCGAATAAAAAAAATTCCTGCCAGAAATAAAAATGCT